TCAAAGTTTTAGAACCTGAGTATGTCTTCTTTTTCACTCTACACAGGAAGTTTTTTAAAAGTATTCTATACTCCTAGTTAACATGATCCACAGCCTGTGAAAAACTGTATTAAAAATGTGACCTCAATAGAACCCAAATTGCTGAAGTTTTTGGAAATCTTGACATCAGAAGAAAGAGTAGAAAAAGAGGGAAGAGGAGAAGTGGTTTAATAATTCTTTCCAGTTTCCACCGGGTTTGGAAGTAAAAACTAATTGTCTTGGAAAAACTCAGCAAGTTTTGCTGTGTTTCAGCTCATTCTAAAGCAAAAATTAAGGCCACACTTACAGATTTTTCAACAAGTCTGGGCCAAACTTTGACAAAGCCCAAGCAATAATATGTTTCTACTGGAACCTGGATTACACATAATCTTGTAATGATTCTATTCCACCCAGTTTGGTGTGAAACTCACTCCTGTTTTTACACTGATCTCCTTCTTGGAAAACTATCCAAAACCAAAATGAACCGTAACAGGAGATTATCACAGCTGCATTGAAGGAATGTAGCAGAATTAAATTAAAAAAAAAAGGAAAAAGAAAAAAGTGCAGCATCCTTGATGTCCAGCCAATATAGATCCTGCCAAATTTTATACAACACTGCTACAAGCAAAAAATACTACTGCACCATGGTGGTTGCTGCCCTAGTGACACTTCCAAGGTAAATAATTATGTAGTGATTCATCCAATAAAAAAAAGACAGAGGGAAAAAGTACAACTAATCATTCATTTTTCCAAACCCTGAAGAATTAATAATTCCATTAAACAGGAGAACCTCCTGCTATGAATGAAGTTTGGAGGAACAGATGGCATCTCACTAATTGGTTAGTTTTAATGTGGATTTTCAGAGAAGCTGTTCTGATGCTTCTCTGTCTCTTCATGCTGTGCTCCTTCTTAATGTGTTTGCATTTCTTGTATTACCTTTCTCATTAATGCCACGCTCATGTTTGGGACACTGAAAGTGATATTTAAATAAGGTTGCAGGCAAGCCATCTGTGTGCGTTTGAAAAATTGTGCTCTCATAAGTTTCCATGGTGTTTTGGAAAGACTGCTGGAATTTACTTCAGGAGAGCAGAGGAACAAGTAATTCCTGTGTACTGAATTTTCTCAATGGACAGACCACCCAATTGTTAATAGCAGAAGGGGAAATAATATAAATGGGCAAAACAGAAGATTTGATTTCAATTCTGATTCTATTTCACTCTTCTTTCGTAGAATCATAGAATCATAAAAGTTGGAAGAGACTTTTATGATCATCAAGTCCAACTGTCAATCCAGCACTACCACTGTAACCCCTAAACCCCTAAACCACATCACCCAGAGACAGATGCAGACACCTCTTAAACACCTCCAGGGATGGTGACCCCACCACCTCCCTGGACAACCTATTCCAAAGCCTGACCACCCTAACACTGAAAACTTTTTTTCTAACATCTAATCTGAATCTCCCCTGTCTCAGATTATGGCCATTTCCTCAATTCCTCTCACTGCAGGCACAGCAGAAGAGACCAACCTTTCAGGTAGTTGTAGAGAAAGATGAGGTCCCCACCGAGCCTCCTCTTCTCAAGACTGAACAAACCCAGTTTCCTCAGCTGTTCCTCATAGGACATGTTTTCTAGGCCTTTCACACACCTTTTTGCCCTTTGCTGAACACTCTCCAGCACCCCAATGTCCTTTTTTAAGTGAGGGACCCAGAACTGAATGCAATACTCAAGGGGTGGCCTCACTGAATATGAGGGATGATCACTTCCCTAGTTCTGCTGGCCACACTATTTCTAATACAGACCAAGATGCAATTGGCCTTCTTGGCTACCTGGGCACACTGCTGGCTCATATTGAGCTGGCTGTCAACCAGCATCCCCAAGTTCCTTTCTTTCTTGAGCCACTCCTCCCTCAACCTGTAGCACTGCATGGGATTGCTGTGACCCAAGTGCAGGACAAGGTACTTTCCCTTATTGAACCTCATACAGCTGGCCCATTGATTGAGCCTGTCCAGGTCTCTCTGTAGTTCCTTGCTATCCTCGAGCAGATCAATATTCTGACCCAATTTAGTGTCATCTGCAAGTTTACTGGGGTGAACTCAATCCCCACATTCAGGCCATCAATGCTAAACAGGACTGGCCCCAAAACTGGGACACAGGGAACACCTCTAGCGCCTGGTTGCCAGTTGGATTTAGCTCCATTCACCACAACTCTCTGGGTCCAACCATCCAGGCAGTTTTTTACCCATTGAAGAGTCCATCCATGAGCACCCAATTTTTCTAGGAGGATGCTGTGGGAGACAGTGCTTTACTGAAGTCTAGATAGGCAACATCCACAGCCTTTCTCTTATCCACTAAGCAGGTCCCTTTGTCATAGATGGAGATCAGGTTGGTCAAGAATGATCTGCCTTTCATGAAACCATGCTGGCTGATCCCCTGGCTGTCCTACACGTGCTGTGTAATGGTACTCAGGATGATCTCTTCCATAACCTTGCCCACAATTGAGATTAGGCTGATAGGCCTGTAGTTCCCTGAATCATCCTTCTGATCCTTCTTGTGTTACACTTGCTAAATTTCAGTCAGCTGGAACTTCTCCAGTTAACTAGGACTGCTGGTAGATGATTGAGACTGGTTTGACAAGTTCTTTCACTATTTCCCTCATTACTCTGGGGTGATTCCCATCAGGGCCCATAAACTTTCAGCTGAGTATGTGCCAGCTTCCCTTCCATGCATGGCAATGATGCTCAGTCCTCTCTGGGAGACTCTACTGACTCAATGTGTAGCTCTAACAGCATAGGTTTTTCTGTCAGGGTCTCACCCTAAAAAAGAGTTAAACTGTTAGTCATTGAACATAAAATTTGAGAAATTGGACATAGAGAAAAAGATGTTAAGAAAAGCCTTTGGTTTAAGCCTGTAAGCACATGCTGATGTTGGTAAAGCAAGGTGATGAAAGAGTCCAGGATGATGGCTTAGAGCAGTATCATGCATGTGTGACTTTTTACTTACAAATTCCTCTGTGTGAGATACCTTGAATTTTCACATGTGTAAGCAAAGCTCCAGGGAGAGTTAAAGGATCTCTGAATGCATGGATCTGTGTGTCTGGATATATACAGAGACTTTTTTTCTCCATAGCACTGTCTTGGGTCTAGAGCTGTTCTGCAGGAGAGCTTCAAATTACAATGACAGGTAATTCAGGTGGTCAGGGTGCTCAGAACTGGACAAATCTCAGGGACGAGAATGAAGTTTTCTTTTTAAAGGCAGGTTGCTCAGTTAGTTTAAAGACCATTAAGGTATCTGTACAAAACGGACGAATTTGTTTTCCTAAGAACACTGACTGTGTTCAAGATAGGACTGTGTAATCACTCTTCCCTGTAATTCTTTTTAATTGTTATATATTATACAAGAATTAATTTGTAGCCAAAAAGCAAGAACTTTAACTTTTCTTAGCACACAGAAAGCTCTGCAAAAGCATCACACACTTCAGTATCAGTGATGATGATCTAATTCATAAAGGAGGAGAAAAGGACAGGCAAAAAGGAGGTGATCCTGGTGGAGGTCCTGCAGCCCTGTCAGGCACAGAACCTGGTAGCACACCCTACAAAAATAGTACTAGTATCAGAAATTATACTATTTCACACCAAGCCTGCTCTTGAGAAAGTAATCTGAGGAGTAAGAACTGCCTTCAGATGGTTTATTTCTAAAACATACTGCTGGGTTTGAACAGCGAAACCTGTGAAACCTGAATTTATATGAAAAACACGGCAACATAATTCTGCTTGACAACAGAGCAGTCACATGAGTTGAGCTGTCTGGGAAGTTTATGTTTCTGAGGACGGGGATTGTATCTTCTGGGTGTGGTCTCTGAAAGCCCTGTGATGTCACCAAGGAGTCATTGTGACACCTGTGACAACAAGCCTTTTGGAGGCATGGGGCAGCCCTGAAGGGCCATGGTGCCTGGCCTCCTCTGTCAGGGACAGATGTATGTAGGTGGGGAGACAAAGGACCCCCATCACATTGGGTGCCTTCTGAGGGCACAGAGAGAATTTGCTAGACAAGGACACTGGCAGGGCCTGGGACACATCTGTGCCTCCTTGGGGAGTAGTGAACACTGTCGGGGAGGCACTGGGCTTCTTTTGTTGAACCTCAGGGGACAAGGAGCCTAACCCAGGCAGGTCTGACAGCATTCAGTGCCAAACACTACAGTAGAAGCTAAGGATGGATCACAATGTGGGCCAAACTCTGAGGGCTGAACAGGATGTCCCGGGCTCCTCAGGGAGGAGCCAGCGCAGTCAATGGGGGTGCCGAGTTGCTTTCATTGAACCGCAGGGGACAAGGAGCAGATCCCCACCGAGGTCCTGCAGCATTTGGTGCCAAACACTGCGGGAGAAGCTAAGGAAGATGGAACGTGATGAGGGACAAGCCCTAAGACTCGAACGGGACGTCCCAACCTCCTCAGGGTGGAGCAAGCGCCGCCAGCGGGGCCACCAGGTTTCTTTCACTGAATCACAGGTGACAAGGAACTGAACTCCATGGAGGTACCACACCCCTGCTGGGTACCGGGCCTGGTAGCACACCCTACCAAGAAGGGTACTACTGTATACTTTGTTATTAGTGTCAGGAATGATACTACTTTACACAAAAACAGCTCCTACTGAAAATTGCAGAAATAACGTCAAATCTAATGCTCAAGACTGGGGCTAAGAATCTATTCTCCATCACAAAATGCATCAGAAAATCCTAAAGAGACCCGTGCAAGGCCTTTTTAGGTTAAGAGGATAACAACTGTGAAACGTGACTGCTGGTTTTGTCATCCTGTTTTATGCAATGTTTGTCTATAAAATGCATTACTGAACATTTTGTGTGGTCATGCCTTTGCTCCCTGTATTGCATTTCCACAGTATGATCAACTTTTTCTCCTTCCTGCCCTGGTACCAACGACCCCAATGGCTTGTAAGAAATTCTCTTGTCCTTCCACATCATCTGCTTTCTCATGCTTTACTCCAAATATCCCCCAGAATAACTTCTCCTGTTACTTACCACTCTTCTCACAAGGTGGTAGTGAAAAGTGAAGTAGATTTACAATTACTTTGTATCAAAGGGACTACCTTTAATACCAATCCTAATCTAATGCTTGGTAGCAAGCCTCTGAAAACCTTATTTTCTTCTCCTTTTTCCTTAGAGTCTTTAAAAACAACCTCAAAGACTTCATAGAGAAATTTTTCCCCATGGCATGCCCTGTGCAGAGCCTCACATTTAATGCCCACACTGACAGTACCTGCTACAGGCTTTTCAGATCATGGCCAAAGACTACCGAAGTCACTGAAAAACAGTGGTGTACAAAGAACACTGTTACTTTCAAGTAAGACTGGTGCAAAGAGGAGCTTTCTCAAAAGACAGAGGTGATACAATACATTAATTATTGGACCAAGACAATAATACTGTATTCAATTTTTGTATTTAACTACAGTTGGCCTCTACTCTGTACACTCCTTGTGACACTACATGACTAGGACCACCACAGAACAGAAGCACTAAGACACTACTGTAAAGGAATTCAGATGAAGATCAAGCTGCAAACTTTCTGACTCACAGCACTGATGTGAAGCAAGTTGCTATAAGTTGTAGCCTGCCAACCAACTGGGAAAAGTCCAGTCACCTGCAACACACGCTATGAAAACAGAACTAATGCTTTTAGGGAGATGTTTCACTTATCGCAGCCCTTATGCTTTTGTTTTTCTTGTTAGTTTTCTGTGCAGTCCTGATGGAAAAAAAAAAAGATTTGGATGCCTTCATGAGGCAAATCTGACTCTTCCTGAACATACAGGACCATTCGAACCCTCCCATATCAGGTAACCTGGAGGTACTTTCTGAGCTTGCATGATAGTGTTTTGAGTCACAGAACCACAGAATGAGTGAGGTGGGAAAGTACCTCCAGAGGTCATCTGGTTCAACCTTCCCTGCTCAAGCAAAGTCACTGAGAGATGGTGACCCAGGACCATAGCCACACAGCTTTTGAGTATCATCTCCAAGGAAGGAGACTCCACAAGCCCTGGACATTCTCTGCCAGTGCTCGGTCACTCTCACTGTAAAAAAAGGCTTTTCTGATCTTCTGAGGGAAGCTTCCATGTTTTAGTTTATGCCCACTGTCACAGGGTACCCCTGAAAAGAGCCTGGCTTAGCCTCTGCACACCTACTTCAGCTATTGATATATGTAGGAATAAATCCTCTCCAGAGTCTTTTCCAGGTTGAACAGCCTGGAGGATACACTCTCAGCCCTTTCTTGCAGGAGATGCTCTACTCCCTTCATTGTCTTTGTGGACCTTCACTGGTTGCTCTCCAGTTTGTCCACCTCTCCTTGTACTGGGGACCCCAGTAGTAGTTAGAGTACTCCAGGTACTCACCAGCATAAATCAGAGGGGCAATAGTATTTGTCTTTATTCAGAGAGGTCAAGCTCTGTATCAGAAGCAGCTATAAAAACCTTTGTAGTTAAGTGTACATCTACACATGTGACAGCTGTCTCCAGGAGAACGCTGTAAAGATGTAAGTCATTATCTGATCAAGGAAGTGAATGCCTCTGTTTCTGTCCTTTTTTTTGGAAAGAAAATAAAATTCTTTGTCTCTGAATTTTATATCTATTAGAGCAGAATTTACCAACTGTCCATATGTGTATAGCATCTTTTGATTTTGTTGCAGCTCCTAAGAAAACATACTACTACTGTGTCATGGTTTAACCTCAGCAATTATGTACCATGCAGCCATTCACTTATCCTGCATCTTCCCCTCGCTCACGTCAGTGGGATGAGGAGGAGAATCAGGAAAAGGTAAAACCCGTGGGTTGAGATAAGAACAGTTTAATAATCCAAATAATAATAACAACAACAATAATAACAATACTAACAATAATGAAAACAGAGACAACAAAAAAGAGAGAGAGGAATAAAACCCAATAAAGAGAAATGATGCATAATGCAATTGCTCACTACCTGCTGACCGATGCCCATCCAGTCCCTGAGCAGTGATCGGCACCTCCCAGCCAAGTCCCCTCAGTATATAGACAGAACGTGATGTTCCATGGTATGGAATATCCCTTTGTCTAGTTTGGATCAGGTATCATGGCTATGCTGCGTATCAGCTTTTTGTGCAGCTCCTCATTGGCAGAGCATGGAGACACTGAAATGTCCTTGACTTTATGCCAGCACTGCTCAGCAACAACTAAAGCGTCTGTGTGTTATCAACATCATTCTCACAATAAATCCAAAACATAGCACTATACCCTCTACTAGGAAGAAAAGGTCCCAGTGGAAACCAGGACACACTATAACAGTGTGGAACAAGTCATGTCAAATTGTAATTGTTGAAAAATAAAACTGTTCCTGACCCTTCGCTGAACAAGTAGTCTTCTCTGGATATCAGTATGCCTCCCTCAGGCTGACCTGCTCTCCTGTAATCCACTCCACTCCTCACAGGGTTATGTAATTGGACAGAATTGTCAAAGATGCAGTAAAAATTTGGACCATTGTAAGAATGAGGTAAGGAAGGAAGCACCATTTTTTTTTTCTGTTAATTTGATTTCCAGGGCTGATGTTCACCCCGAATAGGATGAGCCTTTGGTCAGAGCCTGAGCCAGGACCACTTAACCCTGGCTGGAGTGGAGTGTCCCTTTGAGTTTTAAGGGCTGGCTCCCCACTTCCTGTGTTTTGCACTGACCTAGGCTCCAGGTCTGTTGTGTTAAAGCACCTTTTGGAGTTTCAGGAGTGGTGCCTCTGGCAGTGTAGGCAGAGCTAAGAGACCGAGAGGCATTCTAAACCATATATCACATTGGTCAGGTCTTCTTTCTTTATTCAAATACACTTTCAAATCATCTGCTTTCAATACACAGAGAAATGCTTTGTGAGTCATCAATTGTCCTTTATTTCCCCACGAGGCTGTTTCTCTTGCTCATGTGTTTAGAAACAAACGGGCTGCCTGTAGCATGACTTTGTCATAATTGATATATTCAATACCAGACATGCAGGTAAGGTTTTTTGAAAGTGCTTAGGAAAGCTGTGAGTCAAGTTCTATTGATTCACAGGAAAGTTGGGTGAATTATTTATGGGTGCTTATGAAAAGCCCACTTATGGGTATTAGAAAACTGATTTATGTTCATAAAATTCCACTCTTTGCAGACACAATATAACTTAAAAGAGCATCTTAATGGAGTCTAGCTAGAACCTGAAATCAATATTTCATTTCTCTTAAAGAGAACCTTTGCTTTCTAAAAGACACAAAAAATAGTGCCTAGAATAAGGAAGCAAGAGGTTCTGCCTGATAACGTCATGCAATCCTTCATCCACTAGAATTACCATGTGACACCACTCCTTTACTTTGCACTTTACAGTGTGCTTCCTTTTGATGCCAACAAATTCCTGTTCATAATTAAGCACCTGATTTAAACTTAGAGGTACACAATTTTGTGTATTAATTTACCTACAGGTCCTTGTATTAATGGTGGAAGTTTAGATTGGCTTGCTCCATGCATGGTCAGTTTGATGTGTTCACCTCTTAGCTCTCCTGTGATCCACGAGAACAATTGACATCTTCTACAGAAGATGGTAGGCAATCATCTATTTTGTATTCATGTGTGGAGGTGTATGTAAGACTGGTTAAAATGAGGGATAATTAAGGAAACGTGACCAATGCTTTGAACATTATTGTGCATATAAATCTCCTTGTGGATTAGGTATCATCCCACACTTTCTCTCTATTCCTGTTTTGACTTGGCTAGGCTTAGGAAACCTGTGTGTACTAGATTCTTCCCCTTTTTTACTATTCTCCTTTACTTGCCAGATACATACTTCTTGAAATTATTATTGTGCCTGCTTTTAGAAATTCTTGTCCTAAGAAGGAGTGAGATTGATTGCAACATAAATGTAGTGTCTATCCATCTAAGTTTAGTGTGAGGCTGGGAGAGAAGATGAACATGCATGCAAAATCCACAGTGATTTATAAAGTGTGATCTGAGAGATTGGAATTGTTTATTATGTGAGCCTGAGGCAAAAAAAAAATTGTTTAAGATTATAACCATTCAGAAAAAAAATCTTTTCATGCAGGATTTCATTTTTCAAGTGAAATGAAACTTTTCACAAAATGAATTGTATGGAATAAGTTACTAAAAAAAGAGTAATATTTTCTGAGCCTGGAGTAGCACTTTTTTCCCTTTGCAATTTCTTATGTTAAATCCCATACATTCAATTCTCACAATGGTAACAGGATATGGGGATTTAACTTCCTTTTCCTTTTTTCAATAAATAAAGCTCCTTAATACAGAGAGGTATAGAGAGTCCTTCAAAATGGTTAATCCAGGCTTATTGATTACCAGTAAACATTGTAATACACTGATATCTTTCCAAAAAGTTACTTATAGCTACATTTCTAATTCCTTTAGATTCCACAGGTATTACATTTCAAGCTGGGATTTTTATTTTTAGAATGGCAGTAAGTTTCATTAGCAGTTTCTCCAGACTGGCTGTCATTCTGCCTGAGCTGAAAGAAACTGAACAAATGAAGTCATTCCATTCATTAGTTTCTTTACCTGTGCATCGTTTAAAATGGTACTGGTTTGTTGAGCTTTATTTAGCTTGACTGCAGTTGCACTCAATATAGCTGCAATGGGAAGACAGGAATAAATGTAATGTTTCAAAATTAAAGCAGCATTCATCCGTTGCACGCTTTAGCAGCTATGTCTTGCTAAATTCCGCAATTAAATAATTGTTATATATCAAAGATTCAAGAGATTAATGTAAATCATAAATTTTTAAAAGTTGGATGATTTTTTTTTATTTCAAAGGCTTTTGGTTTACATATAGACTGTGTACTTCAATGTGAGCTCTACCTTTAAAAACAGTAAAAATTACGTGAAACCCTCCCATGGTCACTTGATTTCAAGAACATAAAACACGTGCTGCCTCCAGGATGTTAAATATAAAACTTAAAGACATGTATCCCATTTATTCCTTAGACTCAATAAAGATAGCATTCTGAGTGTTAGTGAATTTGGTTTGTTCATTAGGAAATACTCTAGCATGTTGTGGCAGTTTTAAGTTGACTTCTGTTCAATAGTTCTTGGCATTTCCAGTTATTCTAGTACTAAGTGATTGAGTAAACAAGAAACTACTTTTTATGGTTTTGCCTATTTTGAGTGGTATCACATTACCTTTCTTCAAGGCCAGTTAAAGGTGACGCACCACTATTAGGAGTTCTTATATGCTTGTATCTAGTGGAAGTCTTCTTACTAGAATACAAAAGGTCTTTTTTAACCACCATGATTATATCTTTCCTATAAAAATATAATAACACTTTCCTATAAAAGTATAATAATC